GAGGCCCTTTTCTGTGGGGACCCCCCAGCCCCTCTTCCCCCGGCCTGGGGCGTCCATGGGGTTGGTGTGACCCAAGGGCAGGAACCATAGAATCATAGAATCATAGAATCATTGAGGTTGGAAGAGACCCTTGGGATCATCGAGTCCAACCATCTCCCCTACTCTACAAAGTCCTCCCCTACACCATGTCCCTCAGCACTGCATCTAAACGGCCCTTAAACACAGCCAGGGATGGGGACTCCCCCCCCTCCCTGGGCAGCCTGTTCCAATGCCCGACCACTCTTTGGGTGAAAAATTCCTTCCTAATGTTCAATCTAAACCTCCCCTGTTGGAGCTTGAAGCCGTTCCCTCTCGTTCTATTGTTAATTACCTGTGAGAAGAGACCAGCACCAACCTCTCTACAGTGTCCTTTCAACCAGCCCTTGGCCTTGTTGAACCTCACACCGTTGGCCCTGGCCCATCTATCCAGCTTGTCCGGACCCCTCTGCAGAGCCTTCTGCCCTCCAGCAGATCAACATCCCACCCATACTCGGTGTCCTCTGCAGATTTACCAAGGAGCTGAGAGGGACAGCCCAGGGTGGAGCTGTACCTGGCACAGGTGAGGGAGTGACCGTCCCTCCCTCCCTCCCTCCCATGGTCCCTCCTTCCCTCCTTCCCTCCCTCCCACAGCCCAGCAGGAAATGCCGTGCACCGGCCACCTCGACACGCCGGGGCCCCCAGCCCCCGCCACGCCACCGGAGCCCACGGTAGGACCCGAGCCCTGAGGGGACATGTCTGCTCTGCCCTGTGCTTCTCCTGCTGATGGCACCCCGTGGGGTGCAGGTCCGTCCCCCCCAGCCCCATGGCAGCTGGGAACCCCCTGCAGTGAGCCATGGTTATGGTGGGAACAGCACCAGGGTTGTTTGGGGCTTCCACAGATCCTTGTCCCTTAGCCACCCATGTGCCAAGGTGATGGCCAGCCTTTGGGTCTCACCCTGGCTCAGTTCCCTCCACCGTGGAACAGCACCTTCTCCATCCCTGATGAGTAGACACCTCCTTACAACTTGCCCCATGGCTACAGTTTGGGGGAGCTGCCAGATTTCTCCGGGTGCTCAAAGCCCGGGGTCCCCTTGGGTGTGGGGGCAGATCTCCCACCCATCTGGGGGGCTCTGGGGTGGCTGTGCCCGGCAAGGCTGGTTCTTCTCAGTTGGAGCTGATGCTTTTCAGAGCATCCCTGCAAAGGGCTGGAGGGACCCCACTGCTCTCCCTTGTGTGGGGGCTGCAGGTCGCTGCCGGGGCCTGGGGTGGCCATGGGCAAGCAGGGTCTGTTGGGTGGCCAGGGGCAAGTGGGGTCTGTTGGGTGGGGGTCTGTGCAGGCAGATTTCCTTCTGGGGGACAGATTGTGGGACAGGCAAGCCAAGGGGGGTCACGGCTCCCAGGTAGCCCCAGGCAACTTGGAGCACATGAACGGTGGGGGAGATGGAGCTGCTGGGCCCCTGTGGGCTGCCCTGGGGGCTTCAGATGTCTCGTCCCACTGCAGTGCAAGATGTGGGGATGTTTAGTTTGGAGAAGAGGAGGCTGAGGGGAGACCTCATTGCCCTCTACAACTACCTGAAAGGAGGGTGTAGAGAGGCAGGTGTTGGCCTCTTCTCCCAAAGGACGAACGACAAGACCAGAGGAAATGGTCTGAAGTTGGGGCAGGGGAGATTTAGATTAGATATTAGAAAGAACTACTTTCCTGAGAGGGTGGTCAGGCACTGGAACAGCCTGCCCAGGGAGGTGGTGGAGTCACCATCCCTGGAGGGATTTAAGAAACGTATAGACATGGCTCTTCAGGGCCTGCTCTAGTGCCCAAGGTTATTGGTTTATGGCGAGGTGTTGAGTGTGGGGTTTAGTTGGTGGGTGCGGTGTTTTTGGTGGGCGTTTGGTGTGGTGTGTTTTGTATGGGTTTTTTTTGTTTTGGTTTTTTTTTTTGTGGTTGGACTCAATGATCTCAGAGGTCCCTTCCAACCACTAAGATTCTGTGATTCTGTGGGGACAGGACAGGGCTTGGTCACGGTGACAATGTGAGATGCTCTGGGCTGAGATGGGCTGGGCTGGAGCCCCGGTGTCCCACTGTGCCATCTCCCCATGGTGAGCAGGGAGCGAGCTATGGGTCTTGGGTGCTGGCACAGCCCAGCATCACTCTTCCTCAGCGCCGTCCTGCCTCTCCTTCCTGAGACCCCCTGGCCACCTTTGCCAGCATTTTGGGGTGGGTGAAGGTGGTGGGGAGCAGGTCCTGCCCAGCCAGCGGGGCTGAATTCCCGTGCAGGGACTTTCCATCCACAGCTCCAGTGTGATTGGGAATGGGTGGGGCTGATAACGACATTAATTGCCCCTTGGCAGGGATGTGGGTGCTGTGGGTGGCTGTACAGGGCAGCCCTGTGGGAGAAGAGCAAGAGCAGGACCCTGGGCCAGGAGAATTGCCCGGGAAGCCCTTGGTCATCCCATGGCAAGTTTCCTGCATTCCCTGTGAGGGTGGTGAGAGCCTGGCCCAGCCAGCGGGGCTGAATTCCCGTGCAGGGACTTTCCATCCACAGCTCCAGTGTGATTGGGAATGGGTGGGGCTGATAACGACATTAATTGCCCCTTGGCAGGGATGTGGGTGCTGTGGGTGGCTCTACAGGGCAGCCCTGTGGGAGAAGAGCAAGAGCAGGACCCTGGGCCAGGAGAATTGCCCGGGAAGCCCTTGGTCATCCCATGGCAAGTTTCCTGCATTCCCTGTGAGGGTGGTGAGAGCCTGGCCCAGGTTGCCCCGAGAAGCTGTGGCTGCTCCATCCCTGGAGGGGTTCAAGGGCAGGTTGGAGGGGGCTTGGAGCAATCTGGTGTAGTGGGAGGTGTCCCTGCCCAGGGCAGGAGGTGGCACTGGGTGGTCTTTAAGGGAGGGAGGCCGGACTAGATGACCTTTGGAGGTCCCTTCCAGCCTGAACGATTCTATGATTCTATAATTTAAGGTCCATTCCCACCCAAACCATTTTATGATTCTGTGATTTTAACTCCTCATCCATCCTCGCTGAGCTCCTCAGGGAAGATGCTGCACGTTTGTCACCTCCTCTGTTCAAAGCAGCAGGGAGGTGGGTGGCATGGCCCCTTTGTGCAACCAGTTACGGCCACCATTCCATGGCTCTGGGCTGGCAGCGGGAAGCCCCAGGAGCTGTGGGGATGGCAGGAGCTGCCAGGGGCACAGGGCAACCATAGCACAGCTTGCCAGGCTCAGCAGGACTCACTCGGTCTGCGTTGGCCACGCTGTGCCCGGGGCTGGCTCCTGCAAACACGGTGGGCATCCCGTGCACCGTGGTTCCTGGCCGGTTCTGGGAGGACAGACAGCTTTGATGCTGAGGGCATCAAATCAGTGGTTAGAATCTAGTTAATCTACACTTAGTTTTAACCACCCACAGATAACCCCGAGCTGATAACCGGTATCTTGCAGGAAGGCACATGGCAAGGCTGGCCCCGGTTTTTGGCATAAACAAGCTCATGTGGGTGCTTGCACTCCCGGGCTCTGATCTGTTGGCATCAGGTGCCCGGAGGGAGCTGGGCTGTGCCTGTGGACTTTGCACCAGAGCAGACATCTCCCTGCACGCAGCCAAGACACAGTTGTCTCTGAACAGCCCCAAAGTGGCATTATCAAACAGATATCAGATCATCCTGGGAGCCATCATGCAACGCATGAAGGACACCCATGCGATCTGGCCCAGCCAGCACGGGTTCACGAGGGGCAGGTCCTGCTTGACAAACCTGATCTCCTTCTATGACAAAGTGACCCGCTTGCTGGATGAAGGAAAGGCTGTGGATGTTGTTGATCTGGACTTCAGCAAAGCCTTTGATACAGTCTCCCACAGTATCCTCCTGGAGAAACTGGCTGTCCATGGCTTGGGTGGGAATACTCTACACGGGGTTAAAAACTGGCTGGAGGCCGGGCCCAGAGAGTGGTGGGGAATGGAGTCAAATCCAGCTGGCGTCCAGTCACGAGTGGTGTCCCACAGGGCTGGGTACTGGGGCCAGTTCTCTTTAACATCTTTATCAATGATCTGGACGAGGGGATCGAGTGCACCCTCAGTCAGTTCGCAGACGACACCAAGCTGGGTGGCAGTGTTGATCTGCTGGAGGGTAGAGAGGCT